CAGAGTGGCTGGTGTGGTTGAACCTCCACCCTCGTCACTAGTAGGCTAGCATTTAACCCACTGTGCCACCAAGGCTCATTTTGGGGAGGGGGCATGGGGGGTTTATACTGAACGCATAGTTTCTTTGTGGAGGGATAAAGTTTTGGCGATAGATGCTGATGTTGATTGCACAACATAGTGAATGTAATTAATGCTACCAGATTGTATTTTACACCTAAAATGACTGAAATGCAATTTTCATTATATATTTTACCACAACTGAAAAAGAATCTAATGGGCAAATGGTTTAGCTAGTTCAACAATAATGTAAAAACGACTCTTGTTAGTTGCTGTCAAGTTGATTTTGATTCACGGTGACCCTGGAGTTTTCAAGGCTGTGATGTTTTGGTAGCAGATTACAAAACCAGTCTTCCGGGGCATCTCAGGTGAGTTTGAGCTACCAATCTTTTGTTAGTAGTTAAGGGTTTAACCATTTACACACCCAACTGAAAACCTAATAACATAAGAATGTTTTACGTCGTGATTACAATCAGTCTTAAAGAATCATTTTTGAGACAATTAATAAAATTCAGAATTGATACCATATTTACATTTTCAATATTTTAAGATAAAATTATTGGAGCTATGAACAAGTTATTACACTTCAGAAACATTCTGAAGAGATTATGCACTAAATGACCTATGCTATCTGGGATTATAAGTAAGGGTAAGTGTTCATGAGTTCCAGGACATTCTTCCACATCTTTGTATATTTGAAAATAGCCATTACAAAAAATATGTCCTTCTATCAGTAATTTTATAGTCAGGGAGAATGTCTTATAAAGGACACAGAGACTTTTGGTTTCAGGTATGTAACTTGTACTGAAACATCAAAATGTACATTTAAGTGTGTGCAGTGAAGTCCATTACACATTAATTAAATTATTTGGGAAACAACTATACAAAACTTGTGACTTCCTAATAATTTTACTACATTTTACTAGGAGTTCTGGTGTGGTGCTCTGGGTCATTACGCTGCTGGACCACAAGGTCTATTTGAAACACAAGGTCACCTGCTGTTCCCCGAAAACCCTATACAGGGTAGCTATGAGCCGGAACCAGCTCAAAGGCACTTAACAAAAACAAAAAACAAACATTCTGGAGGTGTAGTGTGTGCTACTGGTAAGTCTTTCCAATTCCATGTTCTATGATGTTGTGTTAGCAATTTGAATTTGGCCATACTGGGAGTATTTATACCACAAAAACTGATGAATAGCTCTCTCTTCTGGTCCCTGGAGATCCAGGAGCTGCGGGCACCGGTGCTGACATGGCTTAGTCCAAGAACCACACCACGCACAACCAGTCCCAAGAATGGCACAGAAATGGCATCAAGATTCCCAATCACAACGATATGAATTTCTTAAGGTGGATCCCAAGTTTCTAAGGAGCATGTGCTTTGCCAAGAAACACAAGGGCCTGAAGATGATGCAGGCCAACCATGTCAAGGCTCTGTAAAGCCCAAGGAGGTCAAGCCTGAGAGTCCACATGTGTCAACCGCAAGCTCAGTCAACTGGCCTACACTGCCCATCCCAAGCTGGGGAAACATGGTCCCACAGGCAGTGCCAAATGTCTAAGGGTCTGAGGCTCTGTCGGCCAAAGTCCAAGTAAGGCTGAAGCTTCAGCCAAGGCCTCAACTCAGGCTCCCAAAGGTGCCCAGGCCCCCACAAAGATGGAAGATTTCTCCATCTGAAGACAGAGGGACTGGCGTGACCCTTTGCGCTGCCATCTGCATGGAGCTGGTGTCTTCCTGAGCTGTTTGTACAAATAGACCTGAGGCAGGAAAGACAAAAAACAAAAACACTGACGAATATTTAGCTTGATTTATTGTATAGCTAAACATTTACACTTACGGAAAAGGTTAATGTAATAATGCAGACATTAAATTTAAAATGCAGCGTGTCTATTACATTATGAATGTTGTCATTAAGTGCCAGCAAGTCAGTTACGACTCATAGCAACCTGTAGATAGGGTTTCCAAGAGGTGGCTGGTGGGTTTGAACCACTGACTAGCAGTCCAGAGCTTATCCTATATCGCCACACCAGGACTCCCTTACATCACACATAGCACAAATAATTTAGTAAAAAATGAGGCAGTGTTTTGTTCTGTTGTGCACAGGGTTGGTATGAGTTGGAACCGACTTGACAGCACCTAATGACAATTATGCAAGTATTTAAAAGCAATTATTCCAACAATTCTAACAAATAATTGTTTCACTGTCTTATTTAATATAGAGGGAAAGTGCCAAAATCCAGTTAAGAAAAGGCAAAAAGTATGAAGTAGCTTTTTACCAAACAAATAAAATGTTGAGTGCCAGTCAGTTCTGACTCATGGAAACCTTGTATAGAGTTTCCAAGACTGTAAATCTTTGCAGAAGCCGAAAGCCTCATCTTTCTCCTGAAGAGCAGCTGGTGGACTTGAACCATCAACCTTGCGTTTCAGTCTAGTGCTTATCCTGCAGAACCACCACACTCCAAAATAAGATATATAGGTAGCAAATAAACATATGAAAAGAGATACCACTACACATTAAAAGGGATACAATTCAAAAGTTTTATTGGCAAAAATGTGAGAAAGTGGAAATCTCACAAACTGTTTAGTAGGAATGTAAGAGAACTGCCACTTTAGATCATAGTTTCGCAGTTCCTTAAAATGCGAAACATTTCTCTAGTCCGACTCAGGCATTCCACTCTGAGTCCTTAACAAGAGAAATAAAACATCTATCCATATGAAGAATTGTGTACAAATGTTCACAGCACCTTCACTGGCAATAGCCAAAATCTGGCCTTGTCCAAATATCCATGAACACATACCACATACACGAATAAACAAACACTGGTATAGCCAGCCATAAAGCAGATTGCTACTCTGCAATGAAATGAGTGATCTCATATAGACATCGATGATGAACAGCAAAATAATTTTGCAGCTTGAAGCTAGAAAAAAAAAAAAGGGAACACTTTCATGAATCATAAAATTCCAGAAAATGCAAACTAACCTACTGTAAAGGAAAGTAAATCATCGGTTACCTGGAGCATCAAGAGCAGGAACATATTATAAAGGATCTGGTGAATGTGTGTGACAAATGCTCATCATTACAATTTACAATCATGGTAGTTTCATTGGTATGTCTGTATGTCACTATTTACCAAATGATAGACTTTAAATATATGCAGTTTATTGCATGTCAATGACCTTACTTTAATGCAAATAACATACCGAGCTCTAAGGCTTTCTGCAAACCATGCAGCCTTTCTTGTTAGTTTCCTGGGTGTGCACTGTATATGTTTGTGCATTATTTGTGTGGATGTGTTCTATGCAAACACAGTACACTAAAGAGGCTTTCTTTAGGTTCAAAATAAAATCCTAGATTGGGCACTCTTTTCACAAAGTCCGGTTCGGCATGTCCATGTCCACTTCACCCTCACTCTCCTCACGCCCTTGGGAAGGCAGTCTTGTCTCCTAACCGAAAACCAACCGTACTGCCACTGAGTGAATCCTGACTCGTAACAACCCTAGACAGGGTTTCAGAGACGGTAAATCTTTACAGAAGCAGCCAGCCTCATCCTTCCTTCTTCCTCAAGAGTGACTGGTGGGTTGTCTAGTGCTTCATCCACTGCACCACCAGGGGTTGGTTTTTTGAGGGAGGGGAAAAGGGGAAGTTGATATTTGATGGGTAGTTTCTGTGAAATAATAAAGCTCTGGAGAGATGATGATGATTGTAAAGTATGCTCCCGGCCAGCAATGAGGCCGTTTCCTCTCAACGGGAATGCAGCTAGGTCAGAAACAACACATGCTGGGATTACAGGATCCGTGTTCTCTCCAACCTTGTTTACCTACCTGTGCAGTGATGGCCTTCAGGTAAACAGCCCAGAGAGGAGACAGGAATCCACAAAATCTTTCTTTTCTTGGACAGTGAGCTCATCTACCTGAGACACAGTCTGGAGGGTTTCACAGAGACAGAATCACTGGAACACTTGTTGAAGCACTTGGAGAAAAGGCTCAGTCCAGTCACTAACTGTGGTGGGTTATTCCACCTGCTAACCCTGGCTTCTCTGCTCCCTAAGGCCTTATAACCAGTAACACCCACTTACTGAATTCTGGACATCCCAGCCCAAGGGTAATTTGGGGAAGATTCCTTCAACAGCACTGAGCCCTAAGTGATACAAAAAAATTCATGTTGTCCCCAAGAAGCAGTGGAGGTTGCCACAACCTTGAATCCACAAATATTCTTGGCATCACAAATCAAGACCACAAAGCCCTACTCCTTCCAGGGAAGCTTTGCGCAATATGCAAACAAGGCTGAAACTGGAAAAGCTATTTTTTTGCCATCATATCATCACCTCTAAGTCACACAAAGTTTGGGATCCTCACAAAAGTTGTTCATCTCTCCTGTTTGCAGAACCCAATTCTGCCTTCTAAGCCCCCAGTGAATAGAGTTCTCCAAAATTAAAGCATTTAAATAAAAAGTTATTTATTATTGCACAAGCCAGAACAATGTGCAGCAGGCAGTTTCTACACGTTGGTGAGTTAGAAGCTGGGAAAATTCATCACAAGCACCATGTGATCCTAACAATATCCTTGCAACAGGGAGTAAGTAAGTCACCAGCAGAAGTGATATGAGGTTAAATCTAGGTCAGACGTAGGCTTTGACTTATCAGAAAGGGAATGAGAATGCCCAAGACTCAAGTCTCTCAGGATTTCCTCTAAGGAATGGGTGGGAAGGGATGCCTGATTCTGTTGTTAGGGACTCAGAAAATACAGGTGACATAGAAGCTGGCAGTGATGATAGTCTGGGCAGGTTAGAAAGTGCAGTGCAGCTTCTGAAAGCTTCCCTCATACGTGGAACTTGCAGGGAATTGCCTAACTGTGACTGTTTGGTTTAGAGTCAGATCAACGGCTCCCTCGCTCGGTTCTCCTCAGCATTGTTAAGGACCCAGAGCCTAGCACATTCCCTGCATATCTAAGCACTTTCTCCAGTGTGAACTCTCAGATGTTGAGTGAGGTCAGATTTGCGGCTAAAAGATTTCCCACATTTGTCACACTCATAAGGCCTTTCTCCGGTGTGAACTCTCCAGTGTTGAATTAAGCCAGAACTTTGCCGAAAGGATTTCCCACATTCGTCACACTCATAAGGCCTCGCTCCCGTGTGAACTCGCTGGTGTTTAATGAGGTCGGATTTACGGCTAAAGGATTTCTCACACTCATTGCATTCATAAGGCCTCTCTCCAGTGTGAATTCTCCGGTGTTGACTGAGGCCAGAGCTTTGCCTAAAAGATTTCCCACATTCGCCACATTCATAAGGCCTCTCTCCAGTGTGAATCCGTTTGTGCACAATAAGGTGAGAGCTTCTGCCAAACAATTCCCCACAGTCGCTGCACTCATAGGGTTTCTCTCCAGTGTGGACCCTCCGGTGGTGAATGAGGGTAGAGATGTGGCTGAAGGACTTCCCACATCTGCCACATTCAAAAGGCTTTGCCCCTGTGTGAACTCTCCAGTGCTGAATGAGGCTGGAGCTTTGGCTAAAGGATTTCTCACATACTTTGCACTTGTAAAGTCTTTCTCTCTGATGTTTGCTGAGGCTGGAGTTGTAGGTCAAGTATTTCTCGCATTTTCCATACTCATAAGGCTTTGAACCTGTGTGAACTCTGCGGTGTTCACGGAAGTCAGAGATCTGGCAAAAGAACTTTCCACACTCACCACACTCATAAGGCCTTTCTCCAGTGCGAACTTGATGCTGAACAAGACTATGATTGCAAATGATGCTCTTTCCACATTTGCTACCCTGAAAAAGTCCCTCTCCGGTGCAGACAGTCTGGTGGTGAGTAAGTGTGTGTTTGTGGTTTGCATCTTTCTCAGATTCCTCCCACATAGAACGTGTCTTTCCTCTGTGAAAGGCTTCTTCACACCGGGTGCGGCTGTGTAGCTTCTTACCATTTAGATGGGCGTGGCGCTGGAAAGGACCTACGGCTGCTGGAACATCCTTCTTAATCTCCCCACAAGGGAAGGACTTCCATGAGAAGTCCTTCTTTACAAATGGGGCCCGATCCACATCTCCTTTGAAAAATGTCTCTTCACTGTGACGCTTCTGGGATTGAGGAAGGTTTGCACTACACCAGGAACCTCTAAAACATGCCTCGTCCAAGCACAGTTTCGACTCCGAGTATGTTGGCTGGAGTTCAGTCAGGTGTAGAATGTCTCTCAAGACTGGAACACATAGCTCGCAGGGATGAGTTTTCTGGGGGAAGGGGCCTGCCTGTGGAGTCCTGACCCATGACCTTTCTTTTATAGAAACACTCTGCTGAGAAGATGCCCCCATCTCCTTGGTTCCATGCCAACAACCTGCAAGAAGAGAAATGTTGATGAAATGCTGACTTTATACGAGGGGGAGGCCCTATAACAAATGTGCATCCGACACCCCAGGGTTGAATCCATGAGATTATTCTGAGTACGGTGGAGTTGGGGACCGCCTGAAGAGCTTTGCAGCACTAGGGCTTCTGCAGATTATAGAACAGGAGGCCTCAACAGATGCAGGATCCAAGGATGGGGTACAGCGCAGGGGGGAGCAGCAGGGCATCTAACTCACTCCACTGTTAACAGCCTCGACAGGACCTTGTGCCTCATGTGTAAAAGGTTGGTTGTGTCCAGGCCCAGGAAAATCCAGTTGGAACTGAATAGCTGATATTCAAGGGTTACCTAAGGACATGTGCATACCTCATGACACACTGTGTGTAGGTCAGGGTTAGACAACACTGCAGAGGGAGCAGTAAATGCCAGCTAATGCCCGAAGTAACAGTTCAAATGACAAGTCAGCAAAGTGTCAGGTACGGGGAAGAAGGGGTAGAAATGAAGTCTGGACAGTGGCATTTGTACCAAAATACTGGTGGCTACAGAGTAGAACCCTGGCCCCTGGCATGATGTGAAAAGGGACCTGATGTGATGCCACTCAGCAAGGCCAGGCCTCTCATCTGCATAATGAGATGCAAGTCCTAAGGGAGAGACAGGGCACGGTGTGTGTGTGTGTGTGTGTGTGTGTGTGCGGCAGGACTTGTCCAGAGCAACTCAGCCCACAACAGACCACAGGACAGAAAGTCAGTATCACAAACACAACCCCCCGAGAGAGGGCTGGGTAAGAACAAACTACAGTCCATGTGATCACAACAATGCCTGCAATCCCTGGCACAGGATATGTCAACTGGAGGAAGCTGGGACACAGAGGTAGTGTGGCTGTGACATCCTGTAGGCACAATGGGGTCCACTGGTCTGAACCAAACAGTCCTGACTCCTGGGTGCTTCCCTCAACACTTGTGGACAGCGGGTGGCGGGAATGCTCAGGGAATGCATGGTGCGTGGCAGGGCACACAGTTCAGCACTGTGGACAGCGGGTGGCGGGAATGCTCAGGGAATGCATGGTGCATGGCAGGGCACACAGTTCAGCACTGTGGACAACGGGTGGCGGGAATGCTCAGGGAATGCATTGTGCGTGGCAGGGCACACAGTTCAGCAATGTGGACAACAGGTGACGGGAATGCTCAGGGCATGCA